GCAGCCTCTACACCGTCCGTTGCACAGCACTGCTTCACCACCTGGTAAACAACATAAACTATCACTACCAATATTACCACTATCAACATCACTATCACTATCATTATTACCATTATTCTTTCGTTTACACCGAAAGAGCCAAAACAAACAAACAAATGCATCAAAATCAGTAACCCACAAACAAAAAATTTAAAATATGAAAGAAAAGCGAAATGAACAAACGACCAACCTTCAACACAATCTTCTTCATTTCTTCATCAGGCGATGCGAACTCTCTAATCAGGATCAGCATCACTTCCCGAGTATAATACGACGCGTATTCAGCGTCCATCAACGGAATCAGAAAGCCAATTGCCTTCAAGAAGGCCGCTAAACCCTTTCCTCGATGCGATCTGATACCTTTCCAGAGTGGTTTCAGCACCGAGTCGAACGCCTCGATACCGTACGGTGTGGCTGCCTCAGCCAATGCAGCCAGACACAACGCTGTGATCGTTCGCACCTAAACACAATGTTCAACCACCACTCGCAACTGTTCATCAATTTCAAACCACCTCACTGCTCTATTACCAATTGATACCTCCAAAACCGATAACACTCGCTCAAAATTTCAATATTCAACCAAATTTCTTTTCATTAAACTTTCACAGCAACAATAATTTCTAATATCTCTTTATTATGATCTTCTAAAAATAAGAAGTTCATCAAAACAAAACAGCGAATTCGCTCTATAATATGATTAACCAACCTTCTGTTGATCATCCACCAATCCAGTCTCTACAATCTCCACCAATGCTCTTAAATGCGGCAAAACTGCACATCCCATTAGAATCGCCATCTGTTGAACTATCTTTATTCCTAAATAAAAATAAAACATAATATCATTTGTCAATCGAAAAACATTCAAAAATTCACAACAAAAATGCACTATCAAACAATTAAACTTTTCGCTTAATTTGAAATCAATCCTTCGATTTCTAGACGAATCACTGAACAAATCATCAATACTATTGCAATGATCATTACAAGTGAAACTATCACTCAATTCATTATTATTATTATTATCACTCATTATTATTCTTAATATCAAAACCGACCTGTATGTCTCGCTTGCCAACTCTTCTTACTCTTGCAGACTGCCTTCAGGAAAGGCAAAAGGGCCGGTATGCCCAGTGCCGATGCCACCACAGCGAACGCACGTGCCGTTGTATTACGAACATACTCATCCACGTTGTCTATATCCGGTCGCATTGTCGAGATCATCGTCGCCAAACCTTCAATCAGCAGTTGAAATTATCGATTTCAATAGATACCCATTTCAGATTTTATCAAAAAATTCCAGATTTCTAACTGGAAATAACTCTTCATCTATCAATTATTCCGTTCCACTAATCATGCATGATATCAGTCAAATTACATTCGTCATTCATAGCAACCAATTTCTGGGTGTCAATCGATCTAAACCAGTAGAAAAACAACAAGAACAAATTAAAAATCAAAACAAAAAATGAAAAAGAGCACAAACCTGCAGCTTTTGC